ATTCGCCATGGAAGCAGCAACATCTGTACCTAAAGGTGGTAGCAGCGAGGTGGCTTCATAAGAACTATGTGTGCCATGATTTTTGGTATTGTTCGCACTATACAGCCTCCAAGATTTCATCCTCCCAATCACTTGAGGAATTTCTCTATACTCTATTAATAAATTCCATTTTTATTTAAATCAGTCTTTGACTTGAATCACAAACCCAGACTAATACAGTTTCCCCAATCATCATTTTGACTTGATTTGCCCACAGGCACAGCTCAAACGGGGACAAGTTGTTTCCTACCAAGCCTCTGTCACACTTTGCAGACCTGCAGAGATCTCAGCTATGAAAACCTGCGTTGATGCCCAATGACAGTATAACTGAACAATAACATAATGTGGAATAAGATGGCTAGGTAGATCCACTTTGAGTTAGAGTCCGACCTCCTCCACATCCATTTCAGGCTCCAGCCAGCAGGTGGGGCCCTCCTTAGCATGAAATCAGTTTTCTTTGCATTGCCCCGCCCACTCTCACCTACAGCAGGGGCAGGAGAGGCAACTTTCAGCTGGCAACTCTTGGAGCTGGGTAGACAACGCCCTTGAGGAGGTGGTGCCTTACATAACCTGGCAACAGTTTACAAGAAGCTTCTGCTCTCCAGCCAGTCACATCTCCTCATATATAAACAACAATGGATGACCTGGGACCACAATGCCTGTGCTTTCCATGTGACCCCCTGTTTATGGGTATCTCTGAGGGCCTCAGAGATTGGATATACTCAGCTTTGTCCAGAATGTTGGAAAAGACAGAGGACTTGTTTCCTAAACCTGGAATTTAAAAACTGGGAATTTATCTTCTCCTGCCCCGTAGTAATGGCCCCCAAGAGAGATAGCTTCTTCTTCCAGTCCCAATGTGGATTGCATTCAAGCATCTAGGTGATCTTTCTTTATCTATCTCACATGTCAACTACCTGTGCCTTCCTGTGTCCCATCATAGAACATTCAAAAGCCTGGAATGGACCCCATTTAGAGGTAAGAAAACAGGTTTCGAGGTTGGCCTGCCGCCTCCAGTCTAAACTCTGCCTAGCTTCCAAGAATGTCTATAGCCAGGCTCATCTACCTTTCCAGTCACAGGTCCTTCATAGTAGTAGCCTTCAAAACTTTTTACCCCTCTACTCTTAAAAGAATATATAAGAACTATGTAGCTCCTTGCACATTTTTAAGCTGATATCTAATATTTTTTTATCATTAGTTTAAAGCACAATAGTTGCAGAGGATGGATGTAATTTTCAGTATTTAATAAATATTGACGTTTTAATATAAACCTGTTGTGTTATCCCTTTAAATGTATTGAATGAGACTCAAATCCCATAGTGATTTGATACTCACCATTATCCATCTTAAAAATACATGAACAAACCCTTTAGCAACAAAAAAATTTACATTCTCTTTTTCTCCTCTTTTCCCTCAACAATCTAATCTCAGTAACATATTTTTATGCTTGTAAGTCTTTTATTGATCTCCATATTATATATCTCTGCAACCAAAATGTATATGTTAAAATTTTTAAAAAATTTTAAGCCCTGGCCAGTTTGGCTCAGGGGTAGAGTGTCGGCCTGTGGTCCAGAGAGACCGGGGTTCAGTTCCCGCTAAGGGCACGTCCATCCGTTGCAGTTTGTCCCCGGCCCTGGTTGGGTCGCGGGAGGCAGCCACTCCATGTGTTCATTTCACGTCAATGTTTCTCTCTTTCTCTCTCTTTCTTCCTCTCTCTCCCTCCCTCTATCTGAACAAAAAATAGAAAAATATCCTCGGATGAGGATAAAAAACAATTTTTTTAAAAGTTTCATGTAACTATAAAGCTCTAAGTGAGAAATTTTCTTCTGTTTGAGTGGCCATCACAAATATTAGTAACACCCAGTAGAGCAAAACAACATAAATATTATTATTATTATTTTTTAAATCCTCACCCGAGGACATTTTTGCATTCATCTTCAGGTAGAGCAGGAGGGAGGAAGGAAGGGAGAGAGAGAAACATCAATGTGAGAGAGACACATCGAGTGGCTTCCACCCATACAACCCCAACGGGAGTCGTGGACAAACTGCAACCAAGGTACATGCCCTTAGCGGAAACTGAACCCAGGTCTCTCTGGTCCGAGGGCCAACGCTCTAACCGCTGAACCAAACCGGCCAGGGCAATATTATTATTTTTTATACATATTAAATATAAACACAAAAATACATTGGAAATGTATTTATCAATGAACATGGGCTATCCTTCTCCCTCCCCCGAGGTAGTTCAGATGTTCATAGCTGAATATCACTTGTTAGGTAGGATGAGACTGCATTCGGCGTCAATGCTAGTCCTTTTTTTTTTTTTTTTTTCATTTTAAAGCTGAGAAACCTTGTTCACATGATAAGTAGATGGGAATTGGGAGTTTTGATATAGCAGTGGCATGTACTTCTGAGTTGTTTGCCATCCCAAAATCACAGAGATCTATTATTAAAATATCATTAATGATTTTTCAGGGTTTTGAAAGCAAAGATCAGAAAACCTCTAACTTAAGAACCAAGAGAATCTGTTGTCCAGTTTCTGAGCCGTTCAGTTTCTCAGCACCCACAGCCCTGCACTAGCATTTCAAATTGGAACTTTGTTTCGTGTTCCGGGAATTTTACCCTTTTGGGTAATCCTCTATTGAAAGACAGTGGGTTGGGTGAATGGTGAACCTTGATACTGAAAGTAGGCAAGGTGAAATTATGAAAGAGGAAAGCATTTTTGGTAAATAGAACTTGGAAGTTGAAGATCTGAAATTCATTTTCTTAAAACTCCTTGTAGCCTAGAGATATGCCATACCAATAGAGGCCCACTGACCCACCTCCCATCCAATATCCAGAATCCAGAATTCTTGTGCCCATAAATGTGTTATGCTTCTTTCTACTTGTATGGTTCCCATGTTCTCCTACTCTCCTTTCTTATTTATTAAAAATGTTAAGGGCTGCCCTGGCTGGTTTGGCTCAGTGGTTAGAGCGCCCACCCGCGGACCAATGAGTCTCGGGTTCGATTCCGGTCAAGGGCACGTATCTCGGTTGCAGTTCATCCTCGGCCCTGGTCAGGTTGTGCAGGAGGCAACCATTTGATGTGGCTCTATCACATTGATGTTCCTCTCTGTCTCTCTCTCTCCCTCCCTCCCACTTTATCTGATAATAAGTAGAAAAATATCTTCAGGTGAGGAATTTAAAAAAAAATGTTAAGGGCTATCTTGAATCCCGGTTCCTACCTAATGATTCTCCTTTTCCTGAATTCCTACTGCACTTGGAGTTTGAACCTCAATTCCCATCCCTGCAATATGCACCGTGTTATACTGGCAGCTTTGTTTCATGACACTTCAAATAGATTATAATGACATTCTTTGCAATAGAGTTTGGTGTACTTGCAAGGACATGAATGAACTTTGCACATAAGTTCCAGGAGGGCAGGGGCTCTACCTGTTTTGTTCTGTGACATATAGCTAGCACCTAGCACAATACCTGGCACAAAACAAGAACTTAAATGGTTGAATAAATGAATGGACTTGAGTTTGAATCTTACCTCATCCCTTTTAAGCTGTGTGACACCCAATCATTAATTTTAGAATAAATTTATCCATGAATTCATTTTTAAAAACTTCTGTTGCATGCTTCCTAATAGCCAAGCACTGTGCTAGGCACTGGAGACCTAAGTGGAAGAAGATATGTCCCTGCCCTCAAGGATCTCAAGCATCTAGTTACGGGGCTATTGCGTGAAGTAAAGTGGAAAGAACAGCCTACGTGCAAGCCCAGAGGAAGAAAGAGAAGGGAGCTGCCAGTAGATTTACAGAGCAGAGGCATAGGATGTTCTCCTGGGCCAAATGTTCATGGGCCTCGAATGCCTGTGGAATATATGGGATGTGAACTTGACTGTCCAGGTTATCACTGAGAGACTGAAAAGTGGGAAGAGTCAAAGACAGACCTGTACTTTAGAAAACCCACTGAGGTGGCCATGGGGAGAGAAGTAAGCAAGAAGACCCAGTTACTGCTCTTATCTGGGTGGGAGATGATGAGGGCCAGAGTAAGGCAGCGGCCATGAGACATGGCCCCAAAAGGGTGAAGTTGAGAGTGACCAAGAAAATCCAATCAATTGGACTTGGAGACTAATTAGATATGGGGCAAGATGGAGGAGTCAAAGGTGAGCATGCAGGTGGAAGATACATGAAGGCCAGGGAGATAGAGAATGAAGGATAGATATAAGAGTATGAAGGAGAGAGAATCTACTGGATTTGATGACAGGTTTTGCATGAGGTGGTGAGAAGGAGGTAGCAAGTCATCCTAGATCCCCAAATCTCTGTCTTAGGTAACAAGGTCAGTGAATCAGATAATATGAGAAGATCCTGACAGGGGAGCTCAGTTGGTTGAAGTATTGTCCTGATATGCCAAGGTTGCAGGTTCAATCCCTGGTCAGGGCACATACAAGAATCACCCAGTGAATGTATTAATAAGTGGAACAACAAATCAATTTTTGTCATTTTCTCTCTCTTTCAAAAAATCAATAAACAGATAATATAGAAGAGAAGCAGGCTTGGAAGGTTTTGGACAAGTTACCTGACTTTTCTGAGCCTGAATTTCTTCACATGAAAAACAAGAATGATAATACCTACCTCTCAGAGTTGCCATGAGAATGAAATAAGCAGGGAAATTGCAGGGCATAGAAAAATAGATGATCAATAAATACTTTTGGGTGATACTAATAACAGTGCTTGTTTATGTGCCAAGCACTTACATCCTCACAACAACCCAATAAGGTAGGTATTGTTATTATTGGAATTGAAGCACAGAGAGGTAGAGAAACTTGATCAAAGTCACCCAGTTAGTAAGTGGTGGAGTGTACTTTCCTAGCCCCTGGACTATATACCCTATTCTTTCTTGGACCTATAACTGACTTGAAGGAAGAAGAGAGGAAATGATAGGAAAAATGGACAACAGACCTGATCAATAATTCACTCCAAAAACAGTTTTTATTTGGAAATATGCCTCCAAACTTGGTGGCAGTCTGGGGGCAGATGGCCCTTGGCTTACTTGTTTATTCTTTTCCAGCCCAGGGCATCCTCGAGGTTAAGGCACAGGATCAAGTTTTCAAGGATCAACATCCCAGACAGCCTCAGTGGTCTGGGGCTTGGGGCTGATGCCAAAAATAAATGAGGTTCCATTCTGGACTGTTTCATGGCTGGAGAGCCTCGCCCCTGACACCAGGTCCTCAGCTCCCTCTTGCAGGGGCCAGTGTCACCCACAGGCCAGCTGTGGCCAGGTCCTGGTGGGCATAAGGTTGGGGGGAAAGAGGCTAGCAGAGGCTAATTATCTGGTTCTGGGTCCAGTTTATCTTCCTGAGGGGTGGAAGCCAAGATGGGAGCCTCATCCCCACCATTGAGGGACTTTTGCGGCTCACTGGTGCTGGGTGAGGAAGTCCTGTTGCCCTGGGATCCCCAGCGGGTCAGGCGCTTTAATGAGGAGTCATGGCGGGTAAGTGGAGGGGGCTGGAAGCCTGTGAAGGAGCTGCTGGTGGTGGGACGCTTGTCTAGCAGAGAAAAGGCAGGCATGAGTTAGGAGAAAGGTACATGCAAAGGTGAGAGGTTGACAGGCTTTGACTCCGCCCTGGGGGAAGAAGAGAACCCTCTGACCTTTAGTCCTGTAGGCTCTATAGATCTGGAAGTATCCCTTTTGCCCTCTCTTCTCCCTCCTCACTCCAGGAATAGCTCCAGGGTCTACCCCCCTCTCACCTCCAGGCTTAATTGGATGCATGAGCCTGTTCATCTGGACATTCCAGTGTTTTACGTTGGTGCTGGCTTGGCGCAACTTCCGCTGGGCAGCCTGTGGGGCAGAACCAGTGGGGAGTGGGTCAGAGCCATTCTCCACGACAGGGGGCACAGGCCGTTTAGAATGTGACAAAGGTGCCTGCCTGCTGTGGTTCAGTGGACTGAGCATCAGTACCATGGACTGAGAGGTCCCAGTTCAATTCATGATCAAGACACATGCTCAGGTTTCGGGTTCAATCCCCAGTAGGGGGTGTGCAGGAGGCAGCCGATTGATGTTTCTCTCACATGGATGTTTCTCTCTCTCTCTCCCTTCCTTTCTCTCTAAGAAAATTAATAAAAACATATTTTAAGAAAATAGAATGTGACAAAGGCTACTAATATCTCCTCAGAAAAACTCATGAATATTCACAGAGTTATGTATAAGTACAGACTTAGTATCTAATTTCAGGGAACTCAAGACCCCCACCAAAGGGTCAAAAATAATCATAATTATAGTTTCTATTTATTAAGCAGCTAAGATGTGCTAAGTATATTTATTATCTTATTTAACTTCCAGAGCAGAAGTTAACAACAAACAAGTGCAAAAGAGGTTAAATGACTTGCCGGGGACACACATGGACCTCTACACCACTGTACCACACCACCTCTGCAGGAACTAATGCCAACACCTCTGCTCCAGCCCAGCCAGTGTGGCTCCGTGGACTGAGTGTTGCCCCATGGACTGACAGGTCCCGGTTGGATTGCCTGAATATCCTGCTCCATCCCCAGTAGGGGGCAATCAGGAGGCAGCCAATGGATGTTTCTATCTCTCCCTTCCTCTCTCTCTCAAAAATCAATAAAAACATTAAATACAAAACAAAACAAAAAATCCTCTGCTCCAATGTTCACCCAGTTGTTAGCAGTGGGGTGGTGGGATCATAGAGGAACTTTCCCTTTCTGTTATATAATGAAATTTTTTTACAATGACCATGTAAGACAACAAAGCAAAATAAAGTAAACACTATTTTTTTTTTTTTTTTTTTTGTATGTGCCCCTAGTGGGAACCGAATCCAGGACTCTCTGGTCCGGAGACCGATGCTCCAGCTGCTGAGCCAAACCGGCCAGGGCAGTAAACACTATTAAAAAAACAAAACAAAACCTCAAAATAGAAAAACCCTCTACTGTGGAGTTTGGGGCTCCAAGGAGTGGATGCAAAATGCAGGGATAGCAAAATATGGTCTTGGAAGAGTAGGAACAAAAATTTTACCCAGATTAATAATAATGATAAAAATAGCAGCTAATGTTTCTTCATACCTTACTATATACTAAATATTACATATTCTCTCGTTCAATCTTCATAGAAATGTTATTACTAGTCCCCCTTCCCTGATGAGGGACTTGAACTCAGAGAGGTCAGGCAATTCTCCGAGGTCCCACAGCCAGAGGAGGAGGAGGAGCCAGGGTTTGAGGAAAGGCTGGGAACATGAACATTAACCCTCTCACTCCGAACCTTGACCCTGCCCCACCCTAGGTCTCACCTCCACGTCCTCGTCCGCCCTCTGCCGGTTCTGCCGCACCTCCTCCAGCTGCTGCTGGGCCTGCTGCAGGGAGCGGCTCTGCTGCGCCATCTCCTGCTGCAGCTCTTGCTTCTCCTGCTGCGCCCGCTCGATGTAGCGCTCCTGGTCCTCCTTCAGCTGCAGCAGCTGCTTCAGCTTCTCCTCCTCTTCCTCCAGCAGCCTGCGGGCGTGCACTTTGTCGTCTCCAGAGCCAAGGCACCTGGCAGGTGCTCAGCAAGTGGGACGATGGGGGAGCCACGAAGGGGAATGAGAGGGGTCCCTCCGTCCTACCTGGTCTGGGCTAGGCGCACGGCCTCCTCGTCCTGCCGAGCTTTCACCTCCAGGTGCAGAGCCTCCTGCAGCCTCTGCTGCATCTCCTCCAGCTCCTCGATGCGCTGCCTCTGCCGGGCAGCCTCCTCCTCCTTCAGCTCCATCTCAGCCTGCATGGAGGCCCGGGCCTGCAGGGACGCAGAGCCGGATCAAAGGGGTGGGAGGCGGCAGGTATGGTGCCCTTTCCCCAGGGTTCTGCTAGGCCGGCCAACTAGTTATCTCCAGGTGAGTCTGGGGAGTTCCTTCATGTCAGGGTTTCCTGATCTGATTCCTTTCTGAGAGCCTGACTAGTCAGATAATGATCAGGGAACAGAGCTGCATGGGGAAGGGGTCTCAAGTCACCCCCTTCTTAGCACCAGCCTCAATAATAATTATTATGTATGATAACAGAATGTGTTTTGATTATAATTAAGGCTAGTGCTAGGAAGGGAGTGACTATAATTATAATAATTATAATAACAACTGTTTCCTCGTTTGATCCTCACCATACCTCTACCAGCAAAGTTCTACTAGCATCAGCATGTCACTGATAAGTAATTGAGGTACAGAGAGGCTAAGCAACTTGCTTGAGATCACAGAGCTTCTAAGAGGCAGAGCTGGGAATGAATCCACGTGTCTCTGACTCCAGTTCTAGATGTCTTAAATCCTAAATCGAATGCCTCTACACGCTGAGTCCGCCTCCACTTTGACCCTCCTTCCTCCCATCTTGCATTCCCCAAACAGGTTTCATTGTAAACTCAGATCCAGTTTAGTCCAACCTATTTCAACCTTAATCCAAATTCACCCCTAATGATGTCTTTAGCGGCTCCTCATCCAAGCTCCGCCCCCGACCCGGCCCCACTCTACACCTAGCCCCCAGCTCCGGCCCCACCCACCGTCGGCTAGGCCCGCCCCACACCATCTCTTCCCTCAAGCCATTCCTCAGCCGTTTCCTGCACCCTCCACCTTTCCCTATCTCACAGGCCCCGCCCCATGCCCATCTTTCAAACCTACCGGCTCTACCCTAACAGTCCCACATTCCAAGCCCGCCACCATCCCTCAGCCCACGGGCTCCGCCCACGGCCCTCAGCTCCCGGACCTCGCCTCGCTGCACCCCTCAACCAGCGCCTCAGCTCCTAGGGCGGCCCCACCTGCTCGGCCTCGCGCAATTGGCCCTCGAGCGCCTGCTGCAGCTCGTGGTGCTGGCTGCGGCGCCGCTCCTCCTCCTCCTGCATCAGGCGCTCGGCCTGCCGCTGCGCCTCCTGCAGCAGCTCCAGCTCCTGCAGCTTCCTCTCCTTCTCCTCCTGCAGCTGCTGCAAGCGCAGCAACTCCTCCTCCTTGGCTGCCCGGCGCCGCTCCCGCTGCTCCCGCTGCTCGCGCCGCTTCTGCTTCAGGTCCTTGTGCAGCGAAGTCTTCCCTTCGGCCTGCAGCCGGATCGCCATCTGAATGGCTGCGGACGGAGTGGGAGCGGGTCAGCAGGGGCCTCGCTTGGGGCAGGGAGGCTCGAAGTGGCCCGATGCTGGAAAGAGGCCCTAGGAGTCGCTCGAGTCCTCTCCAGCCTCCCGCTGGGCAAAATGTTATCACCCCCGCTACACAGATGAGGCGACTGAGGCCCAGCCTCCGTGAGCCACTCACCGGTGGTCCACTCCTGGCGCTGGCGCGTGTCCGAGGCGCTCATCTCGTACGTGCGGGAAGCCGTCTTCACACAGAACATGCAGCGCTTTCCCTCGCGATCTGGCAGCACCTGGGAGAGGGCAGGTGGCCCCAGACAGGCTGGCTTCACTGGGCTCAGGGCCACACCGGCCCTGCCTCAGGGGTGCTCCAGCTCCAGCCCCTCCCCCTCCCGCTGAACCCTCCCACTCTGTCTGCCAGGAACCTGAGGCCAGCCTGGAGTTAGTTATGGGGGTTACTTGTGTCCCCACAACTCTTGTAGCCTTTGCTCTTTGAAGGTGGGTGTGCTGTGTTCATATTGGTACTCTCCATGGGGCCTAGCATCTAGATGCCACTCAGTACGCAGATCATTCTTGAACACCTTCAGTGACAGGGCCCTCATTATCCAGGCTATTCGTTTTCACATGGCCCTGCCTGTTGAGAACCTTCTCCATTCATTCATTTCACAGATATTTTGAAGTGTCTACTGAGTGCCACTCATTGTTCTAGGCATTTGGGATACTGAAGTGTGCCTAACAGACCAAATCCCTGCCTTCCCTAAGCTACATTCTAGTGGAAAATAATAGTTCCCATGTTTTGAGCTTCTTATGTTCAAGAGTATGTACTAGTTTTTTTGTTTGTTTGGTTTTAATCCTCACCCTAGGACATTTTTTTTTTTTTTTTTTTTTTTTTTTTTTTTTTATCCTCACCCAAGGACATTTTTCCATTTTTTGCTCAGGTAGAGTGGGAGGGAGAGAGAGGAACAGAGAGAGAGAAACATCGACGTGAAAGGAACACATCGAGTGGCTGCCATCCGCACGACCGAACAGGGCCGGGGACAAACTGCAACCGAGGTACGTGCCCTTAGCGGGAACCGAACCCGGGTCTCTCTGGACCGCAGGCCGACGCTCTAACCGCTGAGCCAAACCGGCCAGGGCAGGACATTTTTCCATTTATTTTCAGAGAGAGAGAGAGAGAGAGAGAGAGAGAGAAACATTGATAAGAGAGACACATTGACTGGTTGCCTCCTGCACAACCCCGACCAGGCCTGGGGATGAACCAAAATCGAGGTACGTGCCCTTGGCCAGAATCAAACCCATGACTCTTTGGTCTGAGGGCTAACACTCCAACCACTGAGCCAAACTGGCCAGGGCTGTACTAGTGTTTTATATGCATCATTTTTTTCACGCCTCCCAGACAACCTTGCCAGGCAGGCATTATTTCCACTTTACAGAGAAAGAAACTGAGCCTCTAAGAGGTCCAGGAAATTGCCCAATTCATGCTGCCTGTGGAGTTGAGATTTCTGCCTAGATCTGTGTTCTTTCCACAGTGACACCTGTGTCCTCATTTAAGAATGGACAGAGCCTAGGGTGGCTATAATAATTTTTTAAAATGTGAAATAACAAGTGTTGGTGAGGATGTGGAGAAATTGGAACCTTCATACACTGCTGGTGAGAATGTAAGATGGTGCAGCCATTATGGAAAACAGTTTGGCTGTTCCTCTAAAAGTTCAACAGAATGCCCTGACAGGTTTGGCTCAGCGGTTAGAGCGCTGGCCTGTGGACCAATGAGTTGCGGGTTCAATTCCGGCCAAGGGCATGTACCTTGATTTTGGTTTGTCCCAACCCCTGGTCGGGGTCATGAGGGAGGCAGCTAGTCAATGTGTCTTTCTCACATCGACGTTTTTTTCTCTCTCTCTCCCTCCCACTGGATCTGAACAAAAATAGAAAAACCTCCTCAGGTGAGGATTTAAAAAATATAATAATAAAAAACAAACAAACAAAAAGAGTTCAACAGAGTAACACTATGATCCAGCAATTCTACTCCTAGATATGCACCCAGAGATATGAAAACACATCTCTATCCATAAATTTGTACATGGATATTCATGACAGCATTATTCATAATAGCAAACAGATGGCAACAACCCAATGTCTAGCAACAAATAAAATAAGCAAAATGTTGTATATTTACAATGGAATACTATTCAGCCATGAAAAGGAATGAATTTCTGATCCATGCCACAACATGGATGAAACTTGGAAACATTATGCTAAGAGAAATAAGCCAGATACAAAAAAACCCCACAAATACTGTATGATTCCACTTATATGAGGTATATAGAATATGCAAATTCATGGAGACAGAAAGCCAGGGTGGGTAGGGATAAAGTATTACTTAATGGGTACAGAGTTTCTATTTGGGATGATGAAAAAGTTTTAGAAATAGACAATGGTGATGGTTTCACAACATTGTGAATATATTTAATGCTATTGAAGTGTACATTTAAAATGGTTAGCCCTGGCTGGTTTGTCTCAGCGGTTGGAGCATCAGCCCTCAGACCAAAGAGTCACAGGTTCAATGCTGGCCAAGGGTACTTACCTTGGTTACAGTTTGTCCCTGGCTCTGGTCAGGGCCATGCAGGAGGCAACCAATCGATGTGTCTCTTTCACATCGATGTTTCTCTCTCTCTTTCTTCCTCACTCTCTCCCACCCATTCTATCTGCAGTTAAATGGAAAAATATCCTCAGGTGAGGATTAAAAAATAATAATAATCAGAGAAAGACAAATATCACATGATCTCACTTATCTGTGGAATATAATGAACAAAACAAGCTGAGGAACAAAGTAAACCTAGAGACATGGAAGTGGGGTGCAGATTGACAAACTTCAGAAGAGGTGGATGTGGGGGGAGGGAAGAGATAAACCACAGAACTTTTACACATGTATATGTAAACAAGGACATAGACAATAATGGGGGGGTGCAGGGTGGGGTGGAGGGTGTCAATGGGGATAAAAGAGAAACATCTGTAAAAAAATTAATTAATTAAGATTTTTAAAAATAAAAAATGGTTAAAATGGCAAATTCCATGTTATACATATATTTTTACTACAATTAAAAAAATTATTTTGTTTTAACCCTCTAAAATAGTAATGGACAGAGCCAGGGGAGGAGGGGGACGGGGGAAGAGGAGGAGTGCAGAGAAAGGGCAGGTATAGAGCTGCCGAAGGGAGTGGGATTGGGGTGAAAGAGAAAGACCTTTAAAGAGGATTTTGAGAAAAGTTTGGCTGTGCAGTGTAAGCTGCCTCCTCTGAAATCTTTAGCAAAATCCACGTTATTCACCAATGACTTTGGTATTTCCTTTGCAATTTTTGTTTGTTTGTTTGTTTGTTTTTGTTTTGTTTCTTTCTAAAAAGCCTGAGATGGGTGAGAGTGGCCTTGAGGTTCCCAGGTATATTTGGCAGAAATTTGTCACTGGCTTTTCTCCATTTGCCCTCCTGACCCTCTTGCCCTCATACCACACTGAGGACCTGGGCCCTGAGGTGTGCTGCACCCCTTCACCTGTCCCCTTACCTCCACGCAGCACTGCGCGTCCAGGGGGATAGTACCCCTTTTGTCTTTGCACTCTTCACTCCCAAAATAGCAGAGGCTGCTGGGCTGTAGCTGGAACCAGCGTTCTGCCCAGTTCCTCCTCAGGTGACCTCGTTTCCACAGGTAGCCCTGCCAGCCAGAGCAAAGTCAGAGGCTTCACTGCCCCCCTTCACTCCTCCTTGGGGTCCTCCCCTAGTTCCCAGCTTGGTCTGACCTGCTTCAGGACATCTTGGATGAGCTCCTGGTAGACCTCGTGGATGGCCATGCTGAGAGTGTCCCTCCCCACGCCTCGCAGACAGTGGCCAGAGTTGAAGAGCTCCAGGAACTGCCAGACACTGAGTCCCCCGGAGGTCTGGGCTGCCTGGGCCTCCTGTGCCAGCAGCTCCTCCAGCTCCGCCAAGCCCACCTCCAAGCTCATGCTGCTGAGCACCTTCTTCAGCAGGTACTCCACCTGAAGGGGGAGAGGGTAGGCCTGGTGACTGCCCAGGCAGTGTTGCAGCTACCAACACTAGGGGGCGCTCCCATCTGGTTCCCAGAGCCTGGCAGAGGTGACCAGAAACAGGGATTGAGGGTGTGAGTAGAGGACCAAACCAGTAGACACCAGAGTAGAGATTTGGGAGGGGATCCTGGAGCCCCAACCCCAATTCAGGCATCCTCTCCCATTCCCCAAACCCCAGTCTCACTCCTTCCTGCCTTAAATTAAGGGCAAGTGAAGGTTAGAGCTGTGGGTTGGGGGCCAGGGAGAGGCAGCAAGGCACAGAAAATATCAGAGGGGGTGCAAGGGCCCTCTCATCCAATACTTAGCAGATGACATAACTGGGGCCCAAAGGGGGAAGTGACTTGTTCTAAATCACACAGCAAATTGGTGGCAGGCAGAACTTGGTTCAAACCTCTTGAACCCCATGTGAGTCCTACTCCGAGCCCCAGCCCTGGGGACCCTCCCGATGGGAGGGTGAGGGAGCAGAGCAGGGACAGGAAACCTGTGAGAGAGGAACAGGAAGTGGTGGTTGGGGTACATCCTGCTGCAGTTAGTTCACACTGCATGTTGATCACAGCAGCCTGCAGCCTGAGAGGCCACCTTGCCCTGACTGGCAGGGGTCTGGCAAGGGCGCCAACCCAGGTGTCAGTGTAGATGGACACATGTTCCTCTCCTGCCCCAGCAGCTTCTTGAGAAACTCCCTCGAGACTTTCACTCTGGGGCTACTGGGTCTCAGCCGGGAGTTCAGGGCTCCCACAAACAGCAGTGAGGTTACAAGTCTGAGAGCCATGAGGCATGCCAGTACTGCTTGTAACCACAGAGGAGCCCTCCCCTGGCTACCCTCACCTGAAGACCTGAATTCGCCCTGGCATCCTCACAGCCAAGAGACTAAAGGGTCAGGAGACAGCTGAGATAGGAGCCGGGTGGAGAACAGAAGGAGGGGGCAGGTGGACTGGAAAAGGGGGGCGCATGCCCTGGCTTCACGATGAGCCGAGGAGGAGGGTGAGATTCCAGGACCCCCCCGGGCCCTGCGCTGAGCCTGCCCCTGCGCTCCCTGTACTGTGGAAGGCAGGAAGGGACCGTCAACCTGGAGTAGCTGGAGCGATGCCCCAGAAAGGCCTCCCTTCCCCTCACAGAGCACCCTTCTCCGACTGCCAGTGCCTAAAATCCTGCCATTTGATCATAAATGTTTTTGCTCTTAAATGCCCAATAACGTATCAGGCCTTTACACCTCTGTAAATAGAACTGGCAGACATTTTCCACTGGGAGGGCCAGCAGAGCCCGAGGGAAGGCAGTTGGGCTCGGCTAGAAGGCGCAGGTGTTCTGATGCGGGCAGTTATGGGCACCTGGAGACACCTGGGTGTGGACGGCACTGGCACGAGAAGGCAGAGAAGAAAGGGGACGTTGGAAAGGACACTGACTATTTGGCTTCCTCCAGGCTTTGCTGAGGCCTGGCCCCAAGTGATTCATCCCTGCAGCTGCCACCACCCTCACCTCATCAGGAACCATGATCAGAGGGTACTTGTCCTCAGACAGGAAGTTGAAGAGGCACCAGAGGCGGAAGGCGTCCTGGTTGGAGAGCATGCTGTTCCCGTTGCTATCCACCTTGTAGTTCTTCTTGGCCGTCAGGGTCCAGCACAGCTCGTCAAAGTGCTCCTTAACAAAGGCGCCCTCCTCCACCTGCCACCGGGCCTGCAGGTCAGCCAGGAAGGCTGCCCCAGCCCGGCTCCACCCTGCACCGGCTCCCAATGGCTTCTAGGTCCTCTACCCTCCTGCTCCCACCTGGCCAGGCCCGGGTCCCCTGAGGACTCCCTGAGCGGATTACCAGGTAACTAGCTGGTTCCGACTGTCTGGCACCCCTACCCACCGACACACACCTCCACACCCACTCAAGTTCCCTGCCAACAGACAAACTCTAGCCCCCTAGCTCAGAAGAGAAAGAAGGGGAGGCCAGGAGGGTATGGACAGTCAAGAAAAGCCCGAGGAGATAGGTGACAGCGGGGAGGAGCGGAGGGTGCTGGGGGAGCTGCAGAGCGCGTTGTACAGGTTACACTGGAAGCTGGAGGGGGGCCTGGGCTGGGGGGGGGGAGCTATGGGAAAGGAGGAGGCCAGGAGAGAGATGAGCGGGACCGAAGGTGAATTAAGGGGGGCAAGCAGGGGGCTAGTGGCTGGGAAGTGAAGGATGGAAATGGGGGAGCAGATGTACAGAGGAGACAGAAGTAGTTTATAGCGGGAATAAATGCATTGGGGTGCTGGCTGGGAAGTGGGGAGAGATTAGAGGTGCCTCCCCCATGCCGGGCCCCACCTTGTCCAGGATGTACTTGTTGAGGTAGGGCATGTATCCCTGGCTGGACACAGGACCGTCGTCATCATCACGGAAGTGCTCCTCCAGAGCCACGGGGTCATGGGGGATGTGCAGGACCGTGTACAGGTTATGGGAGAGCACCTGAGACAGAGTGGCAGTTAGCCTTCCTGCACCCCATCCAAACTGGGCCAAAGGACAGCCCCCACCGCGCTGTTTGTCCCCATTCCCATCCTGGCTAAGTCCTCTGCACACAGTATTCAAATCAGTCATAACTAGAACATATATATAACATTCAGCCATAAAAAAGAATGATCTTGCTCTAGCCAGTTTGGCTCAGCAGTTAGAGCGTCAACCCGTAGACCAAAGAGTCGTGGGTTCGTTCTGGTTGAGGGCACGTACCTCGGTTTTGGTTCAGTCCCCCCCGGCCCTGCTCAGGGTTGTGAGGGGGGCAGCCAATCAATATGTCTCTCTCACATCGATGTTTTTCTCTCTCTCTCTCCCCTTCACACTCTCTCTGAAGATAAATGCAAAGGTGTCCTCGGGTGAGGATTAAAAACAAAAAAGAAGAATGATCTTGCCATTTGCAACAACATGAATGAAACTTGAGGGCATTACACTAAGTGAAAAAGCCAGACATCAACAGACAAGTATGTATAATCTTGCTTATATGTGGAATCCACAAAACAAAAAACTCTCATAGATTCAGAAAATAGATTGATGGTTGCCAGAGGTAGGGCGTGGGAGTGGGGGAAAAGGGTGAAGGGGGTCAAAGTTACAAACTTCCAGTTATAAAACAAGTCATGGGGATACACTGTACAGCTTAGTGATTATAATTAATAGTACTATACTGCATATTTGAACATTGCTAAGAGTCCATTTCTCCATCAGGAAGGAGGTTGGTGTTGAGGAGAAAAGAACTACCATGTCACCCTGGGCCATGTGGCTCTGTGGTTAGTGTGTTGGCCCAGACACTGAAGAGTCTCAGGTTCAATTCCTGGTCAAGGGCACATACCTGGATTATATGTTCAATACCCAGCCCAAGTCAGGATCATGTGGGAGGCAGCCAATCTATGTGTTTCTCTCACATTGATGTTTCTCTCTCTCTCTCTCCTTCCCTCCCTTCCACTCTATCTAAAACAGAAAAAGAAAGAAAAAAGAACTACCATGTCTTCCAGTGTTTTTGTTTTGTTTTTTAAATTTGTTTGCCTTTATTGATTTTAGAGAGACAGGAAGTGAGAGAGAGAGATAGAGATAGAAACAGCGATGAGAGAGAACATCGATTGGCTGCCTCCTGCATGCCCCTCACTGGGGATCAGGCCTACAACCTGGGCATGTGTCCTGACCAGGAATTGAACCAGCAACCTCTTGGTGCGTGGATCGACGCTCAACCACTTCCAGTGTTTTGACAAAACCTCAGATGTGTGGCCTTCTGGCCAAGTGTCTGTGATTTCATGTCATTGGACCAATCACTGTGTCCTTCCAGTTGCAGATTTCTATAAGTTCGCTGTGGCTGAACCAAAAGAGAAGGCACATGAAGACTTCTAGAGAAACTATGGTTTCATGAAAGAGTTTGAGATGAAGAAGGCTGGTATCTTTTGGAGTGCAAAGTGACCTTGGAATGTAAAGAATTTCTTTGGGTTGAATTCCGTGGAAGTTCGTTACTGACCTATGTTCCTGGACTATGAAACATGAATATTTGAGCTAAGGAATAGTTCTTTTGCCCTGGCCGATTTGGCTCAGCGGTTAGAGCACCAGCCCATGGACCAGAGAGGACCCAGTTCGGTTCCCGCTAAGGGCACATACCTTGGTTGCAGTTTGTCCCCGGCCCTGGTGGGGTTGTGTGGGAGGCAGCCACTCGATGTGTCCCTTTCACGTCGATGTTTCTCTCTCTCTCTCTCCCTCTCTCTCCCTCTCACTCTATCTGAACAAAAATGGAAAAATGTCCTCAGGTGAGGATAAAAAAAAAAAGGAATAGTTCTCTTGATAAATAAACTATTAAGAAATAAAAAAGAAAGTTCCTAAGAGAGTCAATCTTAAAAGTTCTCATCACAAGAAAAACTTTTTGTGACTCTGCATGGTGACAGACTTTAACTAGACTTGTGGTGGAAATCATTTTGCAATACAGTTGACCCTTGAACATCGTGGGGTTAGGAACACCAACACCCCCTGACCCCCATGAAGTAAAAAATTCAAGTATAACTTTTTTTTAAAATTCTCGCCTGAGGACATTTTTTTTGCATTTATCTTGAGAGAGAGGAGGGAGGGAGAAAGAGAGGGAGAGAGAAACATCGACATGTGAGAGACACAACAAGTGGTCGCCACCCACGCAACCCAACCAGGGCCGGGGATAAACAGCAACCGAGGTACGTGCCCTTAGCGGGAACCGACTGGGTCCTCTCTGGTCCGTGGGCCAACGCTTCAACTGCTAAGCCAAACCGGCTAGGTCCAAGTATAACTTTTGACTCCTCAAAAACTTAACTACAGCCTGGCCGGTGTGGCTCAGTGGTTGAGCATTGACCCATACACCAAGACGTAGCCTGTTGGATTCTCAGTCTGGGCACAGGCCCAGGTTGTGGGCCTGATCCCCAGTGGGGGGCATGCAGGAGGCGGCCAACTGATGTTCTCTCTCATTGATGTTTCTATTTCCCTCTCCCTCTCCCTTTCTCTCTCTCTAAAAAAATCAATAAAGAAAAAAAAATTTAAAAAAACAAACAGCCCTGGCCGGTTTGGCTCAGCGGTTAGAGCGTCAGCCTGCGGTCCAGAGAGACCTGGGTTTTTTTCCCCTCTCAGGGCACCAAATTGCAACACCTTGGTTGCAATTTGTCCCCAGCCCTGGTTGGGTCATGCGGGAGGCAGCCACTCGATGTGTCCCTTTCACGACGATGTTTCTCTCTCTCTCTCTCTTCCTCTCTCTCCCTCCTACTCTATCTGAACAAAAAAATGGAAGAATGTCCTCAGCTGAGGATTAAAAAACAAACAAACAAAATAGTTAACTACAGTTGTCTCTTGTCCCTTGGTATCCATGGGGGATTGGTTTCAGGACCCCCATGGATACCAAAATCCACAGATGCTAAATTAAGTCCCTTACATAAAATGTGTAGAACAATGCATACATTTGTCCCTCTGCATCCACGGATCCCTAACCATGGATTGGAAATATTGCTTTTGATCCGCAGTTAGTTGAATCTGTAGATGTAAAATTTGCAGATAGGGAGGGCTGAATGTATATTTATTTTAAAATATCCTCATATAAGTGGTTCAAACCATGTTCAAGGGTCTACTGTATGTACAAATATTGAATTACTATGTTGTACACCTGAAACTAATATGTTAAATGTCAATTATACCTCAAAAAGACAAAAACAAAACTAAAACATATACATTTACTATGCACTGAGAACTGAGCTAAGCACTTTACATGTAATTCACTTACCCCTCATAATAACTGTTAATATCCCCATTTTAGAGATAAAGAAAATCCCTAGGCCCTGAGACATTAACTCACCCCAGGTCAGAGGTCAGAGAGCTGGTAGAGCTGGGGTCTAACCCAGGCAGCCATGCTCTTAGCCACTTCACTAGGTGGGGGACCGGTCCTCTTTCTGCAGACAAGGACACTGAGGCCCAAGGGATTCAGTAACTGCCCAAGGAGCCACCGTCAGCAAGAGCCTGGGATTCAAATACAGTTCTGCGATCCCAAAGCCCAAGTACTTCCTGCGATGCTGGGCTGCCTGCAGGGAGGCGGCTGTCATCTCCGGGCAGAAGCCCCGAACGGATCAGTTCCCGTCAAAGCCTCCGTGTTCAGGCTGCAGGGTGCCTAGCGCCAGGTGTGCCATCGGGCCGTGTGTGTGGTTCCAGTCACTGGCCTTCTGAAGATGGAAGGGAGCTGGAGAGGGCTCAGAGGAAAGATCCTGAAAGGCGTCTGAGGGGGGCAGATAGGGAGGGCAAGTCCTAGAGGGATGGAGGCCATGATGGTATGAAGGGGAAGCACAGGTTGGTTAACACACCTGTGATATTAGAACCAAGAGGTTCAAGTTTGAATAAGGAAATCAAGAAAAAAATTAAATCGCCTTGGGGCATTTGTATTATCGCACTTATCACAGACAGCCTGGATGATGAGTTACTATTGCACACGCACTGTGTGCCAGCAGTACATGAGGTGCTTTCTACACCTCGTGTAATCTCCACAGCTGTGATACACAGGCATCAGTATCCCTGGTTTTCAGATAAAGACACGAGACTTGGAGAGATTAAGAGTAATATTGGCAGGACCGAGGTGGAACTAGGTGTGTCTGGCTCTGCCGGCTGCCTCCCTACTAGAATGAATATTGATCCTGAGCCTCTCTTTCTACTAGACTGTGAATTCTGGAGACTCTTCATCTTTATGTCCCGCAGCATCTATGTCCTCTCCTGCACACCAAAGGCCGTCAATAACTGCTATATTTCACCGCTGGTTCCACCACCATCAGTGGATCAGCCCCTCTGAGGTAGGAGCCAGCAGCATCTAGAGAGGGCATGTGTGCCAGGTCTTCATGTCCTTATTCCACTGTGAGAGGAGGGGGAAGGGACTGAGACTTCTCAATGTTCTCGGGTCTCAGGTTCAACTTGGCAAAGTGGGATGTTGTGGGGCTCGGCAGAACATCCGCGTGTTTCTTTCCCTGACTTCCCTCTGGGCAGCCATCCCTGATCCCCGCTCCAACACTCTTTCCCACATTCTTCAAATGATCTCCTATGCCATCTTTGGTTTTGCTTTCTCTTGTTCTAGGAAAAAGCTGAAGTTTCTTCCTCATGAACTCTGCCCCCTTCCCTTATTTTGGTAATAAAGACTTGATTTCCCTTTGAGAACTACCTCTCTTCCATTCTCAGTATCTATGGTATTGCACCTCTACTCCACTGTCTGTAAGGGCAGGCACATCAAAGTCATAGTGATTGATTCAAGGAAGGGCACATGACCAAATCTGGGCCAATGAGAATCAGCCCTAGGATTTTCGCTTCCTCTAGTGAAAAACAGGTATACTCTTTTCATGAAATTGTTAAGTTGTTGGAAGATAACATGCTTCTGACATCTTTGTCCCATTGTGGAAAGTGCCTGCTTTAGAATAAGTAGTGAAAAAAGCAGAGTCAAGTGATGAAGAGAGTCATCATATGAGAACCTAGATCCAGCCATGCCTGAAGTCAATGCCATGCTTAGAGTTTTGGTTATGTGAGCCAATAAAAACCATCTCCCTTTAGTTATTTTGAGCTGGGTTTCCATCATTTATATCCAGAAAAGACCTGACTAATACATCTATGATCATAGGATACTAATCCCCACTCTAAGAGGTGCCACTGGCTCAATGCCACTTACAATCCAGGGTGACTAACACAAGAGAAATATCCACTTCTGAAGGGACAAGTGTTATTCTAAGAGTTTTATATATTTCTACCTATTGCCTCCTGGCCTCTTTTGAAAATATCCATGTCCTTATCTTCAAGCCTTTTTTTTTTTTTTTAATCTTCACCCCTTGGTGAATATTTTTCCATTTTTGTTCATATTGAGTGGGAGGGAGAAAGAGAGAGAGAGAGAAAAACATCAATGTGAGAGAGACATATTGACTGGTTGCCTCCTGCATGACCCATACCAGGGCCAGGGACTAACTACAACCGAGGAACATGCCCTAGACCGGAATCGAACCCGTGACTCCTTGGTCCATGGGCCAACGCTCTACTGCTGAGCTAAACCAGCCAGGGCTTCTTTAAGCCTCTTAAAGCACATCTTTTTGTTGTTGTTGTTAATCCTCACCATTAGATATTTTTCCATTGATTTTCAGACAGAGTGGAAGGAAAGGAGAGAGAAACATCAATGTGAAAGAGACACATCAATTAGTTGCCTCCCGCTTGACCCCATCAGGGGCCGGGGATTGAACGCAACCCAGGTACGTGACCTTGACCAGGAATCAAACCTGCGACTCTTTGGCCCATGGGCTGACACAGAACATACATAGTGCATTGCTTAACAAAAATTGTGAATCATTATTATTATTATTATTACATTTGTATAAACAGACATGGAAAGCTATACACAATATCCTGGCAGGTGAAAAAAGCAAGTTGTAGGATAAAATGTTTGTAAAACAAATGTGTGTGCAAAGGTTAGGTTGAACCATGCCCTGGATGGTTTGGCTCAACGGTTATAGTGTCAGCCCAAGGACCAAAGAGTCTCGGGTTCAGTTTCTGGTCAAGGGCACATACCTCAGTTTTGGGTTTGATCCCCAGCCCTGGTGAGGGTCCTGCGTGAAGCAAACAATCCATGTATCTCTCTGACATCAATATTTTTCTCTCTCTCCCACTCTATCTTAAAAAAAAAAAAAAAAAATCAGTGGAAAAATATCTAATGGTGAGGATTAAAAAAATAAAAGATTAGGTTGGATCATATCAAACTCCTAGTTTAGTAAGTCAAAACAGTAAAATGTCAGCAATTTCATATTGTTGAACCTAATATTTTTATTTGTACATAGGAAAAATCTAGACAACTCAGCAAACTGTTAATAGCTTATCACCTCACCACACCTCCAGGGAGGGGAGGCATGACCACCTTCTTTAAATTTTAAAAAATAGTCCAACCAGTGTGGCTCAGTGGTTGAGCATCAACCCATGCACTAAGAGGTCACCGGTTCGATTCCCAGTCAGGACACAGGCCCAGGTTGTGAACCCAGTCCCCAGTCGGGGGCATGCAGGAGGTAGTCAATCAATATTCTCTCTCATCAATGTTTCTCTCTCTCCCTCCCTCTTTCTTCCTCTCTCTCTAAAATCAATAAAGAAAAAATATGTTAAAATTTTTTAAAAATATGTTTTTACTGATTTTTTCTTTTTAGAGAGAAAGGAGGAAAGAGAGCGAGATAGAAACATCAATCTGCGAGAGAAACATTGATTGGCTGTCTCCTGCACCACCCCCTACTGGGGATCAAGCCCGAAACTCAGGCACATGCCCTGACCGGGAATCAAACCAAGACCCCTCAGTCCACGGGACAACGCTCAATCCAGTGAGCCACACCCGCTGGGCACTTTCCTCTTCTTTAACATGCCGTTTGTCTTAGAATCTTATCAACCAGTAACATGTTTTATAATAAATTTTATCTTTTAAAGTATTATATTCTTCTGCCCTTTGATTTTTTTGTTTGTTAATCCTCATCTTAGGATATTTTTCCATTGATTTTAAGATAGAATGGAACGGGGGGAGAAAGAGAGAGAAACATTGATGTGAGAGAGACATATTGATTGGTTGCCTCCTGTACCCAAACTGGGGCTGGGGATCAAACCTGAAATCCAGGTACGTGCCCTTGACTGGAATTGAACCCAAGACCCTTCGGTCCTTGGGCCAACTCTCTAACTGCTGAGCCAAACCAGCCAGGGCTGCACTTTGATTTTTTAATAACTAGGAGCATATATTGTTTTTATGATAAAAATGAATACTACAGCTAAAAAACAAAAGGTGCCTTTAGCCACCCTTATTGATATACCCCGTTATTAGGTTGCTCTGTAATATTCTTTCGCTGTTCTCTGTGTGAGCACTGCCGGGTGCCCACACTCCTTGAGGACAGGAAGGGCTCGAATCTCAGCCCTGACTCCAAACTCAGGGCAAGGGCCCCCACAAGCTGAATATTTTTGACTGATTCTTAAGTCTAATTTAAGTGCTCCAATGGTTCTCCATTGTTCTCTGAGTAAATTTTCAAGTCCTTCCAGAGCCTTAGGCCATGTGACCTGGCCTGCTACACTTTCTCTGCCGTTAACCCCCGCTCACTGCTCTCCAGTGTCCCTGGACACTCCTCAGATGAGCCAGGCACCCTCTTGCCCCAGGGCCATTGTACCTGCGCTCCCTTCAGCCTGGAACATCCTTCTCCCAGGTCACAGCAGGGTTCACAACCTCTCTTCCTTTCAAATTTTCCTTAGATGTCAACTTCTCAGGGAGGGCTTCTCTGAGCATCTTATTTGAATCTGTAACCCCATCCTCTCTAACCCGCGCTCCATCCCCATTTCAGCCTTCTGTCCCTCCACGTTGTACATCAGCTTCCATCACGGTACACCTTCACACTGATTTTGCTTATGTGTTCTTGAGTGTTACGTGCACACTCATTATGTTCTCTGACTGCAGTGCTAGCACCCCAAGGGGTGGGATTTATTTCTGTTTGTCTTATTCACTGGTCTGGCCCATAGTAGACACTTAATAAATCTATTAAATGACCTTAAATGCTTCATGGGGAGAAATAGGAAAAATGACAAAGTCAGACATATGTGGACTGAATCTCTCGGAGCAATTTAATCTCACTGGGAGTATTTTCAACTCCCTAGAACAGGGCAGGATAGAACCTGCCCCATAGCAGCACAGATTATTTGAGCTATTTTTCTCCTTGGATTATTCGCCCACACTGTCCTCTAAGACCTACCTTGCTCACCTGTACCTTTTGTCAGTGGGATCTGACGGGCCCAGGGCAGAGGATCTGATGTCAGGACAAAGGAATTCAAGGCTCTAGACACTGAGGGCTCAGGGCCTCTCCCCAGAGAGCTTTGCAGACCTCAGACTGCCAGGTTTCCGGTGCCTGGGTGCGGTGGGGGCTGGGGCGGGGAGTGGGTGTGACCACAAGAGGGTCACGCTGGAAAGGAAATGGCCAGGATGCAGGCCGCACGAGCAGGTCAGTCCTCGCGCCCGCCTGCAGGCAGGGCCTCTCATTATGCTCATTTGACAGATAAGGACATCAAGGCTCAGAGAGATAAAGTGTCTGCTGAAGGAAGACTGAAGCCCTGCTCTTGATCTCTCTGCTACACTGGCTCTGGCTGAGAATCAGAATCATCTGGGGAGCCGGGGAAACTGAAATATGCTGGGGCCCGCCCAGATCTACTGACTCAGAGTTTCCTGGGGTGGGGTCCAGGTGTCTGTAGTTCACAAGCTGCCATTCTGCCTCCCTCAGAAAACTCCCACCGGCTCCCCCACCCACCCAGGTAGCCCCTGACCTCTGGGTTGACAGTCATTGACCTTGAAGAGGCTTCATTTATGCACTGTCCTCTGGAGGCATGTGGGGGAGTGGTTATCCTCTGGGGGCCTGAAGTCCCCTCAAGTGCAGGGATTGGGGCTGGTGCCATGCCCACGGTCCTGCAGTTTCCAGCCTTCAGAAGTAGCTGCGGATACAGGGGGTTTGAGGACCCATAAAAGCACCCAGCGGTGACTGCAGAAAGAGTGAACGGTCAAGCTCTCTCCTCTCTCTCTCCCCCTCCTACGTGGCCTATAGTCTTTAAATGTATCTAGGTACTAAGTGATTCTTTTAAAATACGCAGATCCTTTTTAAGAGTTACTGAATGTCTTCTTCTCAACCAGTAGGTGCTAAAGTTTAGCTGCTGTCGCGAGGGAGGAGCCCCGGGAATTTCCCAAGGTGAGAGCCGAGAGGAGGGGGCTGGAAGGGTTGGGTGTACGCATCACAGGAAAGAGGCTCAAAAGGGAAAGGCAAGTCGCATCAAGGCTCAATTTCACCTACTTGATGTACTTTGTTAAAATTTATTTTTGTAGCCCTGGCCAGTTTGGCTCAGCGGTTAGAGCGTCGGCCTGCGGTCCGGAGAGACCCAGGTTCGGTTCCCACTAAGGGCACGTACTTCGGTTGCAGTTTGTCCCCGGCCCTGGTTGGTCGTGCGGGTGGCAGCCACTCGATGTGTCCCTTCACGTCGATGTTTCTCTCTCTCTCTCCCTTCCTCTCTCTCCCTCCCACGCTATCTGTACAAAAAATGGAAAAAAAAAAATGTATTTTTGTAGATTGTTAGCTGGATAGCTTAGTGACCCCAGTTCCACCCTAGGGCTTTACAGATGAGAAACTGGAGGTTGAGAGGGTGGTGACTCTCCCAAGATCACCCAGCTGGGGAGTGATACTGGTCTCAGCCTATGTGGCTTTGAGTCAAGAGGTTTGCACATCATGAAGCCATCCTCCCCCTGAGGAGACCAGGTCAGGGCCAAGCTGATGGCCCAGCCAGCAGATTCCTGGAGTTGTTCTTAACTTTCCCTCCACCAAGAAGAAGGTACTGTCCCTCTCCAGAGGAGGCCAGCAACCTTAGGACTGCCCTGAGTGCCTATTGGAGGTTCAGGAGCCTCCCCAGGCCAGGCAGGGAAGGCCCCAGCTCGCCCTCCCTGCCCTCCCCAGATCTTGTCAGTCAAGGGGAAGTGGTAGGCTTGCTACCTCCTAAGATCCTCATCCAGCCAGAGACATGATGTTCTACCTACATCCCCAGTCCCAGGCCCCGCACCCCAGGCCTGGCAGTCCAGGATGGAGGAGGCCAGATTCTCACCTGATCTCCCATTAGGCCTAAACCAAAGCTGCTCACCTAGGGAAGAAGGTGTGGCCATTAGGAAGCCCAGACTCCCCAAGGTTCTCCTCCCTGCAGCCCTGTCAGGACTACTTGCTCCCAAAGTTCTTTAGAGAAGGAGGTTCTGGGGACCCTACAAAAACTCA